GTCATCCTGCTGGCCACCAGGACCGTTGTCTAGGTGCTGCTTCTGCATGACCCAAAGTGGCAACAGGATGGACCTTGTGTGACCTGGACCGGTGTGTCCAGTCCTCTCTCTGAGCAGGGCACAGGGAGGGAGAACTTGCTTGCAAGTCCTTAAGCCCTGCCATTGCTCATGGAGCTTGGAGCCATCACGCCCCACTCCTGCCCGCTGATCGTGGCAATGATGGCTGGAAACCTCAACAGCGCAGGACGCCGTGGTGCCAGCCTGTAGACAGACACGCACAGGGCAGGAGCTGGAGGTAAATCAGAGGGTGGACGGTGAAGCAGAAGGGAAGGTGGCCCCACGTGAGCAATAGCACAGCCAGAACCCTCTGGCGATGTGTCCTGTGGAAAGCACTGACCGCAGCATCAGTTTAAAAGCCTGACTGTAGAAAACGGGTTTGCAGAGTTTTTTCCCCAAATAAATACAACAAAACCGTGTGATGCTTGAGAACCACAGTGTGCAGTGTTTTATGATCAGATTGATCATAAAAATGGCAGTGAAACCCCAACTTTTTCTGTCACTGTTACAGGGAACTAAAGCTGGGAACAAAGATGTGGCCCGGGCCACCTGTGCCATGTCAACCACCAACCGATCCAACACCAGCTCTTTGCCTTTTCTCCTGACGGGCATCCCTGGCCTGGAAGCTCTCCACATGTGGATTTCCATCCCGTTCTGCTTGACGTACATCATGACCTTGCTGGGAAACAGCACGGTCCTTCTTGCTGTGAGGCTGGACAAGAGCCTCCATGAGCCTATGTACTATTTCATTTGCATGTTGGCGGTCATTGACCTAATCTTCTCAAATGCTGTATTTCCCAAAATGCTGGCTGTATTCTGGTTGGGTTCAAGAGAGATTGGTTTTGAGGCCTGCTTTGTCCAGATGTTCTTCATCCACACGTTCACTGCAGTGGAGTCAGGGGTGCTCCTGGCCATGTCCTTTGACCGCTACGTAGCCATCTGCAACCCCCTGAGATACGCCACCGTCCTCACAAGCTCGAGGACCATCCAGCTAGGACTGCTGTCGTTGGCCAGGGGAGCCGGCGTCATGACGCCTTTAATGTGCCAGCTTGCCCTACTGCAAGAGCAGGGTCGTGCCCCATTCCTACTGCGAGCACTTGGCCGTGGTGGAGCTGGCCTGCGCCGACCCTTCTGCCAGCCACCGCTGCAGCCTCATCGCGGCCACACTGCTGGTGGGGGCAGACTCTGTCTTCACCACCTTCTCCTATGGTATGATACTCAGGGCTGTGATGAGGCTGCCATCCCAAGAGGCTCGTCTCAAGGCCCTCAGGACCTGCGGGTCCCCCGTTTCCATCATCCTGCTGTTTTACATAGGTGGCCTGCTCTCCATGTACCTGCAGATGTTCTCTTTCGGCTTGGCACCTCACGTCCAAGTCCTGGTGGCTGATTTCTATTTGACCGTCCCTCCCATGCTCAACCCACTCATTTACGGCATAAAGGTGAAGCAGATCCAGGAAGGGATCTTCAAACTGCTGGAGCAGTTGGCAGGACGCAGTGTCCCACAAGCTGATACAGATGCGTCAGATGCTAAGAGAGGGAGGCACGGCCAGAAAATAATTTATCCCACCATAGAATCATAGCATCACAGCCTGGTTTGGGTGGGAAGGGACCCCAAACCCCCCCAGTCCAACCCCCATGGGCAGGGACACCTCCACCAGCCCAGGCTGCTCCCAGCCCCGTCCAACCTGGCCTTGGGCACTGCCAGGGAGGGGGCACCCACAGCTTCTCTGGGCACCCTGGGCCAGGGCCTCCCCACCTCACAGCCAGGAATTGCTGCTCAATATCTAATCTAAATCTCTCCTCTCTCAGTTTGAAACCATTCCCCTTGGTCCCATCACTCCATCCCTTGTCAGAAGTCCCTCCCCAGCTTTCCTGTAGCCCCTTCAGGTACTGAACAATCCAGGTACTCTCCTAGGATAGGTGTGGAGTTAAATGCAATGAATTATCTCCCAGAAACATCCCTCTGCCTCCAGTGACTCGACACGGAACCTAAACCAGATGCCTAAGACTGATGTGGCAATGCCTTTTTCGCTTGAAACCAATGGGCCACTCCTGAAGGGTGCTGGGCAGCTCTCCCTTTGGCCAATGCACTCCCCTCTTCCAAGACATCACTTGGAAATGCGACATCCTGGCAGCTCTCTGACACCACGAGCAGCGCCTCGGCCCCTGTGCACGTGGCTGAGGTGCCCCACGGATCAAAGGGCATTGGCCAAAGGGGATGATGCATCCCACCAAGCACCAGCGAGGCAATGCTGTGGCGCTCCGTGCCTCAGGTCTGTGCAACGGGGAGGACAAGACTTGTGGGTGTTGGGCGATACCTCGACGTCCAGCCCGACGTTACTTCAATGAAGCTCAGCAAACCACTTTAATTCTGTACCCAACTCCCTTTCCTTCCCCTGTTCTTCCCTCCCACACCTCGATCGAACACATAATGAGCCTTGTTAAGGGCAAACAAACACACAATAAATTACTTAAGCCCCACCTCGCCAAGAGTACAGATCTGGCATTTAGAATCCTCCATTCTGGGGAGGAAGGCAAGAGCAGCAACTATTGGGTGGATCAGCAGGCCTGGACCTCTCTCCTACCCAAGCAGGGGTGTCTTCTTGGTGAGAACTGAGACAATTAACTATAGCACTGAGTATCAAGCTAAGCTTGCTTATTGTAGTGTAAGTACAATTAACGGTAGCTAATGTTATAGAGATATACGTACGTATTTGGGGATGACATTTATATTTGCCTAAGAGAGTGCACTCACCACTGGCAATTCCAAGTCCATTATGTCTGTTGCCTTAATAAATCATCTGCCTTTTTCAGCTTAGTGAATCTGTTTCACTGAAAGCCCCCGAGGGGATTCAGAACAGGCAAACGTTGACGCTGATCAGTGGCAGCTCACATCATCGCTATCAGAGATAAACCCTTGGCCACGTCTGGGACTGAGACCGGATCCAGGCTCCTCTCTGAGAAGGATTTTAGAAAGCAAGGGGGTCCTTTCTGAACCTCGCGACCGAATGTTGCTCCAAGGGAGCGTTAGGTTGGATATTGGGAAAAATTCCTTCCCTGGAAGGGTTGTCAGGCACTGGAAGGGGCTGCCCAGGGCAGTGGTGGAGTCCCCATCTCTGGAGGGCTTTAAAAGATGGGAGGTGAGGTGCTGAGGGACATGGTTTAGTGGTGGGCAGGGCATGGTTGGACTCAGTGATCTTAAAGGTCTTTTAAATCAAATGTTTCTTTGATTCTTTGTCCTGCCCTCGCACGTGGGACATGGGGGGGCTCAGTGCCAGGGGTGTCCAAAGGATGGGCTGAATCCATCCCATGTGTGAGTCCAGGGCTGGACCCCTCCTGTCCGCTCCATGGGCAGAGCTAAGGAACCAGCAAAGGCCACCCCATGCACGGGGGTGTCCAGTGGGAGCTCGGGGTGGGGGCTCGGGGTGTCCGTGTCACCAGAGCTTAGCCTGTGACCCCAGGCTGCTCCCAGTGTTTGACTTCCCCATTGTTCTGGCCATGGGGCAGCTCTCCGGACCCTGGTTTGTCCACCACGACCCAGGTTTGTCCACCACGACACACGTTTTTCC